GATGGTAGACATCAACACGCCTCTTATTGCCTTCCTTAGGAAAATTATAAAGTTGTTTTGTTATAGGCCTAAGAAACATTTAATTTCAATGGTTTGAGAAGACCCATCCTTTTTTCACCTCCAAATAAGGGTGTCAGCAATCTGGGTCATTTTTTAAAAATATATATTATTTTATTTATTCCTTCTCTTCTTAATAGCTTCATTCCAGCTGATGTAAGACATCAATTTCATCACTCCAAGCGTTGCCCTACTTCAGAGCCACCCAGTATTGTGTGCTTTCTATCCAGTCTGCCCCCAAAAATAGGTGGCCCAGAATAGAAAATAAGAAAAAACAAAAGGGGTGCTTTCCTTTCAGACCAGAGCCCACTGAAGGAGTGGTGGGGTTCTTAGTACTACCTTGGAAGCTTGTTAGTGTCTCATCTGTCCTCCTGCTCCCTACACCTCACCTGCTATTCCTCACCTAAACCTCTGAAAGAACTAGCCCATAGCCAAGGAAGGAAACCAAACAAGGGAGAGGTGGAGACCAGGAGTTGCTTTCACCTTCCAGCGACGAGTGCTCCTGGTTCTGGCCCTGGCTATTTAAAAAAAAAAAAACAAAAACTAAACCAGTTGCCTTCAAGTTGATTCCAATTTATGGTGACCTGTGTGTGCAGAGTAGAACTGCTCTCCACAGGGTTTTCAAGGCTGTGACCTTTGGGAAGCAGGTTGCAAGCCTTTCTTCTGAGGCACCTCTTGGTGGGTTTGAACTGCCAACCTTTCAGTTAGTAGTGGAGTGCTTGCTTAACTGTGCAAGCCAGGGACACCTGGTCCTGGCTATGGGACAATGATTTTAGGTCTTTAGCTCCATCCATCTGAAGTTCATAATGATGCTGGAAGTCACTTACCTTGACTGAGGCACAGAGGAAAGCAAGGGCCACAAGGAAATCCCCAAGGATTGTGAGTTTGGTGACTCCTCAGACATCTGTGGCCTGAAAGACTGTTTCTCTGTGAGGGTACTGTTCACAAAAACATTTTTTTTTTTTTTTTTTTTTTAATGTTTGCAAAACTTAGAGGGATCTGAGGAACCAGTCGGGAAAGCTTTCATTTCAAGGAGGTTGGTTGGGGGCCAACCAGCCCTTTCTCCCACTCACCATCTGCCCAGCTCCGGAGGCAGCTCTGTGAAGGTGAACTGTGGTGAGCACACTTTCTCCTCCTGGAACTTGCTGTCTCCACCTTCCCTGAGGAAGGAACAAAGGGAACTTCCTCAGAATAGACCTTCTCTGCCGCTCTTGGTCCTATAACTCACACTTGGGGAAAGCACTTTGTTGGGATTAACCTAGAACAAGCTGGTTGATTATTTAGAGCAGGTTAGTAACACGGGGTGAAAGGATGGGCTTCAGGGTGTCAGTGTACCCCTGACATTGTGTACAGAATAATCGGGGAGTGTGTTTTTTTTCTGGTGAGAGTTCATAATTTTCATCAGCTTTTCATGACTTCTCCTTCCCAAAAAAGTAAAGAAGCGCTAATGGCCTTTGTTAGCAGGATTTAATCTGAGAAAGGCTTTCACATGATTTCAATCGAAGCCCCCTTGGACTCCCATCTCAGGGCTGTTTTCAACCCTGTTCCTTTCACAGTAGCACAGAGTCCAGCAAGGAACACAATGCAAGAACACACAGTAGACACTTCATAAATATGCATGGAACAAACATGGACTCTAATATGACTGCTCCAAAGAATAATCAAAGGAGCCCTGGTGGCACAGTCATTAAGTGCCCAGCTGCTAACCAAAAGGTTGGCAGTTCAAACCCACCAGTTACTCTGTGGGAGAAAGATGATCAGCTTCAGTTACTATTACAGCCTTGAAAACCCTATGGGGCAGTTCTACTCTGTCCTATAGGGTCACTGTGAGTCAGAATCAACTCAATGGCAATGGTTTAATCAGAGGACTAAGCCACAGTTCCCCATATTAAAATGTGAATTACAGACCCTGGTATTACATGATCATCACCACCATCATTATGTGGCCTGTGGTCGGCTAGCTCACTATGGCTCCTCTACCTTTCTCCTTCCTAATCTCATTCCACCAATCGTGCCCCACCTATATTGGTGCAGTTTTGTTTTTCTTCTCCTGCTAATGAAGACTTTTATTGACTTCCCTCTGCTGGTTTGGTTTCCTTTGCAGCCTTGGTTTAGATAATTAACTCTGGCTAACAAAAGGCAATGAACCCTCCAAGGCCTGGCTCGTAGGCTCCCGGGGGTGGGGACAGGGTCCGACACACACAGACCTTTCTGCCCTGCCTTTCTTAACAGCTGCTGTTTTGTTTTGCTGGATATTTTAGTAGTTCAGCCACTGGGAAAATCCTCTATCCCAGAGCCAGGATGGCTTTACAGCTGTAGGCTCAATTTTTAATAGTTGCCAAGTTCCTAGGAAACTCCCATTCCATCACAGGATCACATGGATTCTGGGCTTCCTTCCCGCTCCTTAACTCCTTTTGCCTTCAGTAGGTCCACGGTGCAAGGTTTATACCACCCTGCCTGATCTGGCCCTTGCCTGCTCCTTCAGCCTCATATAGGGACTCTTCACTGATCCTCCTCCTGTTTGTGCTTCTAGAACCCTGCATACTTACTCCTATAATTATACTTGCCACCGTGCCCTGTAATTGCATTTTATTTATCTGTACCCCACCCCACCCACACACATACAAACACACTAGCAAGGGCTTCCTACTTAGGGCATATATTGGCATACATTAAGTTCATTCATTCACTCAACAAACATTTAATGAGTACTTACCATGTACCAGGCACTGTTCTAGGCACTTGGAATACATTAGTGAACAGAACAGATGAAAACTGCCTGCCTTCGTGGAGTTTACATTCTGACATGGAAGACAGGTAGTCAATGTCATAAATGGGTAAACCATAGAATTAGGAAGTGGTAAATGCTATGGGAAAAAAATTGAGCAGGGTGTATGGGACTGGGAATGCTCAGTAAACGTGTTAAATTGGATTTAATTATGATATGGTTAAGGGGACGTTCATTGTGAACCCTTCTCTTCTTCACTAACTCCGTTCAAACCAATGAACCCCCCCCCCCCCGCCAAGCCCTTGACACAATTTTTGCACTATTCACTACAACTACATTTGGTGGATTTCTGTAACCAAAATACAGTAACACCAGATAAATATCATGGATTTACAAAGGACATAATAGGATGCAACACATCAAACCAGGCAGACTAGGTAGGTCTCTCAGTACTTCTCAACTTTTTTTTATTCCCAGCCCCCAAAGACCCTATGATTTGTCCAGCATGCCTAAATAAATGGATAAGGTTGCTCAGAGTCTGAACAGTCCTGAGGACTGAGGGCATTAATATCTCAGTACACTTGTAACACATTGGAAGCACCTGGAGTAGAGAGGCTGCAAGTGGTTATCAAACTTTAGCATGCCTTAGAATCACCCACGGTGGTTAATATGCAGATTAATGAGCCTCACTGAGGTCTGGGGTAAGACCCAGGAATCTACTTTTGTTAACAATTCTCTCAGATCATTCTGATGCTGGTGGTCTTCAGGCCACACTTTGAGAAACACTGTAGTACAATGTAGTGGAGGTACGCAGTGAATCACAATCTTTGTCATGTTATATTTGAAGTTGGGAACCACGGAGAGAATGATATAAATCTGTGGTTCTCAAACTTAAGCATACATCAGAATCACGTGAAGGGTTTGTTAAAACACAGGTTGTGGGCCCACCTCCAGAGTTTTCACACCTCCAGATTTCCAGATTCAGCAGATCCAGAGTGGGGCCCCAAGCATGTACATTTCTAAACAGGTTCCCAGGTGATGCTGCAGCTGCTACTGGTTCACAGGACCACAGTTTGAGAACCACTGATGTAAATCATTCAGGAAGCTGGTGTGCCTTAAGAATTTGGATCTGTGAGCTAATTTTCACAACAAAGTTAGGGTTCAATTTTAGGAAGACAGGACTAAACCTTGTTTAGTCAGAAAGCATCAGGGGAGATAGATTTGAGAAACTAAATCAGAATTAATGTCCTCTTTGATAAACATGGAGCTCTGTGACTTATCATCATTTTCACATCAATCCTCTAGCTGTAAATGTGTGCTGGTAAATGTTTAACAACCAGTTATCAGGGATAAGGGGTGGAGGGAGAGCTGATTTGTATTATTTACCATTTACATGGTGTAAATACTCCTACCATGGTGAATTTCAAGTTACCATCATGAAGTCACTAAAGGTGGAGTTGGGAAGAGACCAACATGCACGGTCAGCTCTCCAAAGCCAATAGGAGCCAGCTCCAGTATACCGCTGTCTCCAGCTACTGTGGGGGTTTGTAAACTTTCTGCAGGATGTCTCCATTTTTCAATTAGTTACAGCCCACAATGTCCAAGATAAGGACCATTTCTTTCAAGGCTGTGTTACAGGCACAGGAACAGTTCTTTGAATACATAAACCAAAATGGCTGCCTTTTGGGGTTTAGCCTCTAAATGCTGGTCACAAGCCAGAGTTCAGGTGGCAAGTCCTTTAGGAAGGTATCTTTCCTCATATCTCCTCTAAGGTTTCACTTCTCCCACTCTACCAATAAGAGCTGAGGCACTTCAGGCACCAAGGTTGAGTGCCTCACAGTGCAATGGAACATTTAACATCCATATAAACCCAACCGGTCTAATACCATCATATGCTGACGAGATTATTTTTTCAGGTCACCTACGTTCTTAGACCAGTGAACAAAGAGAATTGGAGAAAATTTTCTGTTCCTGGAAATAAACCAACAGAGAAAGCCAGACAAGATTCCTCTTGAGGCCAAGGTCACAAATATTTTACAGTTCAGGTCAAAGTCATAGGGAAGTATTTTGAATGTAGATGATGCCAGGAGGAACAATGGATCCTGATCAACCCCATTTGTCTCCTCCAGATTCTGTTCACACACTTTTCTACCTGCCTCTTTGCTTTAACCCAATTCTGCTTTCTCTCTTTCCTAACTCTCCTTCATCTTTCCAGATGCAGGACGCTATGGGCTATGAGTTACCCTGGGTGTATTTTGTCAGTCTGGTCATCTTTGGATCCTTTTTCGTTCTAAATCTGGTTCTCGGTGTGTTGAGCGGGTAAGCTGACCATTTCTATGTCCTCTTTACCATGCAGCCGAGCAAGGTTCCAGCTTCCACTCTATCCATTGGCAGGATCCTCAGGGAGGGGACCCAACAGCCCTAGAAAAAAAACAGGAAAAAAAAAAGTCTCCATTCAACCAAAAATTCTGATACATTGGCTGGGCAGGCCATTTGGCCTCTGATTAGCACCCAGAGGATCCCCGGGTCCCGGTGCTGCTAGGTCAGTGTCTCGGGAGCCGGTGAGTGGCGCTTGGCCATGCTCGGTTGTGGAGTGTGCCTCACTAACTATCATTCCATTCTTCCAGGTCAATGATGCCGTAGGAAGGGACTGGCCCTGGATCTATTTTGTTACACTAATCATCATAGGTTCATTTTTTGTACTTAACTTGGTTCTCGGTGTTCTTAGCGGGTAAGCAGGACCAAGGAAAAAGGTCTTGATTTTTCCATTTATTTTACTTATTCTTTCTGCTATTCTTGGCTGTATTCTTTTCCCGGCTCTGGTTAACCTGGGATAAAGGGTCACTTCAGGAGCCTTGAAGTGAATGTCCTTGGCCTGGCTGGATAAAGGGTCAAATGTACAAGAACGAATCCATTGGTTTGGGTGGTAGACAATGGAGAAGAGCAGATGGCTTCATCAAGAGATGCCGGGTCCCACCTGTCTCCTGCTAGCTCATTCAACCCTTCCCCACCCTCAGGTAGCTGTTGAAGCAAGCAAGATGCTTCTCCTGGTATCTTAATGACCTCACCCTCAGGAGTGGCATGATGAGACCCTTGAGTGGGAAGGGTTTGGCAGCAAGAATTTGAGGCAAGATCCATAGACTATGTGCGTTCAACACATACAGCAACCTTGCCTGATCTCTTGAGCCAGTCAAAATTTGTGACAGGCCTGTAGGAAAGATTACAGATTGTTTTTATACAGTGTTGAACCAATCAAGGCAAGAAAAGTATGGTTTAAACTATAAATAAACTAAAAATCTAATTATCTTTGGTTCTGGTTTATAAGCTAAATAGCCCGTCTTTGGAATTTTCTTTCTGAAAGAAAATGGAAGTTAGTTGTTTTAAGCCATAAATTATTTGAGAATATAAAAATGAAATATAATTTCCTTCAGATTTCCAGAGATACTCTTATTCCCAAATCTGGTAGGCTACAATAATTTTGGTCTTTGGTCAGTTGAGGTTATAAAGTAATAGAAGTAGCATATGGTTGGAAGATTGAGTAGCCCTGGCAATGGCCAACTTCATACCATGGAAACTCACTGGATAGTTCCTCAGCCCACTTTCTTCTTCACAAGTCCACACCAGCCATGCCAAGGCCTGACACCAAGATACCCTTGGTGACCTGCTCGTGGGGAACATACTCTGCTGCCTTTGCTCTGTGGTGGGGGAGGGAGGGTAATCTATTTCTGCTGTGCTCGAGACAGTTCAGCTACTTTGAATAGTCTTTCCTAGATATCTAGGGCCATTATGCTGGGATAAATTCAGGCATAAAGAGAAAGATCCCTCTTCATTTTCACTCCTGGATAAACTCGGAGCAGCTACTCCCAAGTCTACAGCAGCCTAATGCAATGCAGGAGCATTGGGTTTAGTTTTTAGAATTGGGTGAAGGAAAGAATGTGTTCCCATCCTCACCCCTCCCCATGGTGGGTGGCCTGTTAGAGATCTTGATGACATCATTCTTTTTGCCAAGGTGAGCTTACATAGGAGACTCCATCGGGGTAAAAAGGCTGAGCAAGACAAAATAAGCCCCTGATTTGTTGCCTGGATGATAGAGGGGTTTTTGTTTTTATATTCCAACACAAGAAAATGCCCCTGGGGTTGTATGTGACTCCCTAAGGAGAGCATTGAAAAAATTAACCTCAGCATCACCCACTCAAGATAGAAATTTGGGTCTCCCAGCTCTACTACTTGCTGGATGCTTCTATTGGATGACTTCACCTTTTTAAACATTAGTTTCTTCATTTGAAAAAATAGGGATAATAATATCAACTCATAGGTTGTTGTGATGATAGAATGAGATCCTTTATGTAAAATACTTAGCACTGTGACTGATATATAATAAGTGTTCAGTAGTGGCACTATCATGACAGTGATTATTGTTTACTTGGAGCCTATCAAAGCTGGAATTACTGGATAGAACCATCAAATGTGATAACTGCTCCAATTCTTTACTTTTAAAAATTATGAAAGTGAGACCCAGAGAGGTTAAGTGACTTGTCCAGTGTCACTTTGCTGGTATTTTACAGACCGAAGACCAGAACTCAGACCCAGCTTGGTTTCTATTCCAGCATCTTCCTATCACTGCCCGTTAGATGTACATTGAATGAGGCTGGACTTAACACAAGCCAAAGCTCTAATCCTTTAAAAAATATCATTCCACTTTCTTCCCCAGAGATTTGGAACCAAATCTGAGCAATTTAAAAGCCCTCTACCAGGGATATGAAGTGAAGAATGAGAACTAGATCATGAAATTCCCTTCTTACGCAGGGTATCTGCCCACAATTGTTCATGGCCCCACCACAGAAGTTATCTTCCTGGTGGTTGCAAAACAGAGAATTCAAATGACAGCAGCTGCTGATGTTAGAGAAGAAGTCTTTTGGAGACCCTGTCAAGGAGCCCTGGTGACTCAGTGGTTAAAGTGCCTGGCTGCTAACCCAAAGGTCGGTGGTTCAAACCCACTGGCTGCTCCGTGGGAGAAAGGTGTGGCAGTCTGCTCCCATAAAGATTTACAGCGTTGGAAACCCTATGAGGCATTCTACTCTGTCCTGTAGGGTTGCTGTGAGTCAGAATCAACTTGACAGCAGTGGATTTTGTTGGTTTTGTCTTGGCCTGATGCAGTCCAGTGAAATAGGGTATGTGAAAACACTACCCTAAAGCCTGGCACTTAGTAATACTCAAAAATGTTAATGGACTCAGAACAGAGGCAGTAAGACTATTGGGAAGTATCTACAGCTGGCTCTGGATTTAATTCTTCCCAATAGACTTCTGAACCTTTGAGTCCTCTAGTCCGTACTCTGGTCTTTCCTGAAGACTTTCCCCAGCACCTGCTGCCTGATGCATTCCCGCAACTGCAGTCTCCTCCTCGCAGTCCAGAATTGCTGATAGAGTGTCTGCCAAGGCTTCCCACGCCTCTGGGCAGACCCTCTGCCAAGGCAGCAAGGTGTCTATAGGCAATCATCTCCACCTCCTGTGCAGTGACAAAAGCTGGAATCAGGCTCCTATTGACTGACCACATGGTGACAACAGTTCCGGGTCAGCATCGTGATTGGTCAGGACAACAACATAAGAGTCACTACAAAAAATGCAGTAAAATGCCCAGTTTTTCATCAGCCAGACTTCTGATTAAGCCAGCCTTCCAGAAGCATTCAAAAAAGTCACAGAGCTTTGTAAAATGCACTGTCACAACGATAGCAATAACAATAACTACCATTCAGTTGGCAGGCTCTGTTTTCGGTGCTTTACGTGCATTAGCTCATTTAATGCCCACCGCAACCCTATCAGTTTGTATCTCCATTTCACAGAGGAGAAAAGTGAGGTTTTGATGAAGAAATAGCATCAATTCTAACAAGTGAAAAATGGAGGATTCAGGAATGAACCTAAGCAATGTGATTCCATAGCCCCTACTTTTAACCTCCATGTTCTACTACCCCAAAACCCATTTGACTGGTGACTCTTATGTTCCTAAATTACAGTCAAGGAGTGGGGAGAGGAAGAACAGAAGCCGTAGTGAGAAAGGGTGAGCTGGAACAGGCAGGTGCTACCACAGGCAGGCTACTGGAAAAAGCCAGTGGAAATAGGAAGTCCCAGGACGAGGCTGCCAAGCCACCAGCCGGAGGACTGCAGCAGGGCAGGATTATTTAGCATGGGGGCTGACAGCCCCGCAAACCTTCATAGTCCTTGAGAGGGGGCGGAACCACCAACTCAGTAGCACTGCAGTATTAGAGATTCTAGGACTGGGATGTGTGAAACTTTATATACGTCATTTAAGGATAACATTGTTTCACAGACCAACGCAATGACTGATCATCATAAATTATGTCCTTTGGTCACCAAGAAAGGAGCCCTGGTAGCACAGTGTTTAAAGCGCTCGGCTGCTAACCAAAAGGTCGGCAGTTCAGAACCCACCAGCCGCTCTGTGGGAGAAAGATGTGGCAGTCTGCTTCCGCAAAGATTATAGCCTTGGAAACCTATGGCGCAGTTCTACTCTGTCTTGTAGGGTTGCTGTGGTTCGGAATTGATGAAACAGCAGTGGGTTTGATGGTTTGATCACTAGTAAAAGGTTAAATTGTGCTTGATGTGTTCTGCTTGTGAAGGTAGAGAAAAGGCCACTCTATAAAACTTCCATTTAAAAGGTGGAAATTCAAAAATTTTGGTCATCAGAGGGTTACATGTCCTATATCTGGAACATTCACGTATCCAGAACATTTTATTCCTGATAAGGCCAGATAAAGTCAAAGGATATGTAACTCTTAGATTTTTTTTCGAAGTGCTTCCATGTTCATTATCTACTGATGCTCACATAAAACCCTATGCAAGTTGTAGGAGTCGTATTAGCACAGATAATAATCTAATTGTATTTACTTTCCCCTCCAAAAATCTCAATCTCCAGGCTACTAGAATTAAAACAACTACAGTGACAGGGAGATTCTTGAAATTGCACTTGAAACTGGAATCAGGTGGAAGTCCTCGGACTCTGGAATCTGGTTACTTTTTGTTTTTAAGCTATTGCAAAAAGACATGTGCCTTCAGCTGGCAAGGGAAGAAGTGGGCCCCACGATGTTTTAGATAAGTGATTATCCATTCTTTTTTCCCACTGGGAAATGGGAACATTGCTGTCCACAGAAAAGCATAAGACCTGGTGGATAGGCATCTTACAACCTGAAGGCATACACTGGAAACTGGAGTATGACACCGTAGTGAAGACACAATATCCAGGTCCAGAAGGAAGCAAGAGAAAGGCTAGGACGTACATGCCTGTGGGTGGAAGCAGAAGACATGGCAACATATATTGATTTGCAGAAGGCCTATAGCCCCAGTGGTCTGCATTGATTGGATTTTCCATACTCCCCTCCCTTTGCATGCTTTACATTACTGAGCACTGGCCCCCTGGCTTTCCACTCCACCCGTCATTTTTCATGTTGGCCATTGCTGGTAAGAGATGTGCTCCTGCCTGGTGACAAATCCCATGGCTGTGACTGATTGTCTAGCCAGCTCCTGTCCTTTGGCTCAGCACAGCCTGTCAGGTTAGGGCTTCATGTCTTCATTAGCTCAGTCCCCAGAGCAGCACATGGCTGGCATCCAGGCAAGGAGATAAAGAGAGCCAGGCACTGCCACCCAGGGAATCACTTACTCTGTGGGGTCTGGTGAGGGAAATCTCCTTCATCCTCCAGCCTGCCACAAGCCTGGTTATGCCAGTACTCCCTGGGAGCCAAGGGGAGCCATCAAGCCTTCAGATCTGACCCTGACACTTCTCCACCACCTCACACCTCCAACACACATCCTTCTGCTACAAGAGAAAAAAGCCAGTCAGATGCATCAACACAACTGGTTTTTCTTTTCTCCCCATGTATGTTTTCTTTTTACTTCCATAGAGGCCTTAGGGTAAATGACTAGCTTTCATTCCACCTAGCAGAGATGCTGTAAAACAGGTCAGGCTCAATTTTCCCTACTCCAGTTTGATCTCAATCCTATTCTCCCATCGCTAAAAAAAGGATCTGTAGTAGTTTTGTAACCAGAACTTGAATCCTCAGCTATTCAATGACCTCACAGCCCCAAACCCACTTCAGGAGTGGAGAATGGAGATGGGTATGGGCAGAAAGATAGTCAAGAGAGGGAGTCTTAAAGCACAGTTTTTGGAGTTGATTTGCATAGGGAGGGGAGCGCTAGCTAAAGTTCCTGTCTCCAGAGAATAAGGAGAGTTAACCAGGTACAGGGATAAAAGGTTAGTTGGAAGGGAGGCTGGCATCTTTCCAAGCCCATCCTCAACTTGGGTGCTTCAGCAAAAGGAGGGAGGGAGCAAAGTAAAGGCTTCCATCTTCATTGTTAGCTGTCAATCTGGCCTCTTTTCCCTGGCATAAAACTCCCTAGGAAAGCAAGGAAGGTACTTGCCAGTTGGCAGGAAGCCCAAGAAAGAGCAAGTTCAATCCAGTTAGAATTGGATTCAATCAAATTTTAGAAGAAAATTCAATCCAAACCAGAGCATCACTAAGGCAGCTGTTGAAGAGACCTCATTAACTTAAGAGCCCCCACATCTCCCAATTAAAAAGTCTCCTAGCCCCCTCCCCAGCCCCAACCCCATTTCACCCCAGAAATAGTGAGTGCTAAAATCTGTGCTCTCCTAAGTGACACAGACAACAGGCAAACACTAAAAGTGTTTGTGGTGATAGAGCTGTCCGCCCATGACTGAGTGGATTCAGGAGATAAACCTCTTGTCACCCTATGCTTGTTGGTACTGTCCTTCCTTCCCGAGATGCCTTTCCTGTAGAGTGGTTGGCTTGTGGAAGAAATCCCTTCAAGATATTTTCTTCAGGCTCCTGCCATGAACTAGGCCTTAACTAGTGAGAGGAGAAATCATTGCTCCAAGAATTAGCCAAGATGTGCAGTGTGTATACAAACACACACACATAGTGTCCACCCCCAGGGCCCCATTTCCCATACACTGGACATCAAAGATAAAAATGCTACTACATATCTCTTTTGGAAGAAAGGGCACAGACTTGCTTTGAGAGATGAGAATTAGCCTTGTCTGTTACTGTCTTCTACTGCCAGACCCCCTTCTTTGCTCAAAAAGCAAATTCAAAGTCAGAGAGAAAATTAGAGTAGAATCATAAAACCCAGCAAAGAAAGTCATGCCGTCAGAAATTTTTCAAGAGGCCTTTCTCCAGCAAATCCCAATCCAATTCCAACTTCTCATTATTATTTTGTACTGAATGCATCATTTGATTTTTATATCATCTTGATTTTATGTATTTTTCTATTCTGATTGGATTTTTTTTTTTTTTTTTTTTTTTTTTTTTTCAGCAAAAGGGCAGCCCCTAGGACATTTTCTTGTGTTTGGAATCCTTATTTGTCTCCTTGTGGGAAAGAACCTTGTCTCGATTGGAAATCCTTCCAGGCATGCTAAGAGTAGCAGGGTGGACTTTCGTAATGAGAGTAGAGATTGAGGAGATTAAATCTGCTGGGTTCTAAACCAGCAGTGTACTGTTAAATAGCAATGGGCTTTCCAGGGAAAAAGCCCTGGCTCCTAGCATTTGCCAATTTCCATGGTATAAATATTCCCACCATGGCCAATTTCAAGCTACCAACATTATCCCTGCAACTGGAGTTAGGAAGAGACGTACACAATTGGCTCTCAGGAGCCAGTGCAAGCGAGTGGCTTCCTCACACTCTGGCTGGTCCTAATATCTTTGGTCACCTGGAGACTCTTACGAGATTTTTCAAATGCCACATAATCCTGGGAGGAATTAAAACGCATGTTCCATGACTATTGTGGAGTTTTTAGTTACTGCTAGGAAAGGGTCCCCAGGTCTTTGGAGAACAGTTGCTATTAACAGGCAAAGCCTATGATCATGTTCCAGGAAAAAGGGAAATGGACTTTATCTATCCCCTTATACTCTCATGGGCCTTGTCAAGAAAGTCCCCTTCAGTGGCTCTTTTCTATTTCTGTGGGAGTAAAGACCAAAAAAACTGGGATGACTAGAGGAAACTGTCTGTAGAAAATAGGGTTTGCGGGCAGGTTTCCTAGTGCAGAAAAATTAATTCTTTTGTTTTTCCTTATCTCCGCCTCTTCCTTTCACACCCACCCCTCTCCCTCTTGTGTGCTCTCCTGCACTGCCCACTCCTCCCTCTCTCACCAGAGAGTTTTCCAAAGAGAGGGAGAAGGCCAAGGCTCGGGGAGATTTCCAAAAGTTGCGAGAGAAGCAGCAGCTGGAAGAGGACCTAAAAGGCTACCTGGACTGGATCACGCAGGCGGAAGACATCGACCCCGAGAACGAGGACGAAGGCATGGATGAGGAGAAACCCCGAAACAGTGAGCAGTCATCTTCTGTCTTTGGGCTGGGCTCTGGAAGGGAGAAGAGACAGCAGGGAGAACAGGATGTTTACCACCAACCTTTCTTTCCAGCCCATAGTTTGTCTTCCTGGAGCAACATTTGTCTCATTGATTAGGATCATTTGCTACTTGCGGAAATTAGCCACAATTGTGAAATAATTTCCGTTGGTCCATAAAACCTCATATTCTTTTTAGAATCTTTGACCTTAGTAGACAATGTTAAAGGAGAGGAAGGTGATTGGCACCTGCTGTGAAGATTTCACTACGGAAATGCTTTTTAAAATCAGATGGCCTTCTTCTCCAGGCTCCATCTCTTTGTGCAGGGGAGCAGGCTTCTTGCTGCAGACTTATTCCAAAGGAACAGGTTCCTGCCAAGCAGCTACCTGAAAAACTTTACACCTGCACAGGATTCTCTCCCCCCTTTCAGTAGACTGCCAGGCACACTGAGCTTCCTTATAGGAGAAGCAGCCAAAGCGTTCTCCTAAAAGAGGTTAGATTCAAAGATCTTGGGAAATGCTAAGTGGAAGAGTTGGGAAAGCTCAAAGGAATTTGTCAGAATACAATTTGATTACAGAAATTGAGCCAGATCCCTTCCTCTGGGTTTTCACATGGCAGGTTGTTGGATAGGCTATCTCTAGGTTGGAAATGAGAGTGATAGATGTTATTGACTCTTAAGAGTATAAAAGATGATGATCCATGGAAATTCAGGCTCTTACCCGATTAGCCCTATTGTTCTCAAAATATGTCCCTGGACCAGCAGCATCCACATCACCTGGGACCTTGTTAGAAATGCAAACTCTTGGACCCAACCCAGACCTACTTATTATGAAACTGGGGGTGGGTCCCAGAAATCTGTATTTTAACAAGCCCTCCAGGTGATTGTGACGCACACTCAATTGGAGAATCATTGGGTTAACTCTATGTGTTTCATTTGGCCTTGATCTCTTAACTAACCACACTCTTTGCTCTCTCTGTGTGCAATATTTTTTCTTTCAGTTTGCATGTTTGAATAGGTACGTTTCTGTACTCTCAAGCAGCCTAAGTTAAAAATTGGTTCCTAAACACTGAGCATCTAGAGTAGTCAAGGAACTAAACAGGTTAAATAGCTGACCAGGACACTTGAACTCTGAAGTCATGCAGGTAAGGACGGGAAGACAGAAATTTGCTCTAAGCCCAAAGAGAGACAGGAAGACCAACTGAGGCTCAGGGCAGCTGACCGAGGGAAAGCAGGATTACTGATCAAAGGCTTCAGTCCTTGAGGAGGCCAGGAAGGCTACAGGGATGTCAGGAGAGCTTACCCAACCGCTAAAAAAAAAGTAAGGTTTTCCCATTAGAGGTTTAAAATCCCTGTGTGTGGGTGTTCATGTGTACATATATAGTCTAATAAGTGTATATGTAAAGATAGTCTAATTTCTTGGCCTTGTGAGTAGGCGTTAATTATGTCCAGTTTGTTTAAACGTCCTGATTGACTTCTGTGTGTTTCTACTCATTAGTATCTGAGTTCTAATGGGGAATCTGGGAGAAGGAACAGGTGGAGGAAGAAGGGAAGAAGACAGCCAAAGACGGCATCAGAGAACAGGTCCTCGGAAGCATTCCCCAGAATCTCTGCTCTCTCGTGTCAAAGATTGATTTAATAAATTTATCAATTATCCCTTTCTGATAACTCTGCTCAAGGTACAAATACAAAATTAAAACACACAAACAGCAAGGGACTGGAACTACCTACAACAACCTAATTTAATCATCTAAGGAGGCTTTCACGCTCCACTAAGTAGTTTTGCAAGTTGGAAGACAGGGCCTTTGATGAATTATAACAATGAGCAATGGTGCCATCAAGGGTGTTTCTGGAAAACAGTCTAGCAGCTTCTATTATACTGTTGATGGAACTGGGGAGTGGTCAATTAGTTTGTGATACTGAGTGGTATGGTAAACAGGTAAGTTGGCCTGTGAGCCACGTAAAAGCTTACCTCTAACACACAGAAATTGGTGTCTTGGCTCCTCGCTCCACCCTAAGTCAGAGCAGCACCCCTATCTCATGATTAATGATGATGAGCATTTGTCTTAGCATGTCTTATTAACAATGTACGGTATCCACTCCTTGCATAGCAGCCAGTTGCCATCCACAGAGACATATGGATATTCTGTTCTCTGCCTAAAGCAAGAGCTTTCAAGGGAACGTGTGCGCCTTCTTCATCTTGTCCGTTAAATGAGTAAACTCCAAGGAGAGTTCCCAGCAGTATTCTTTGCTGCTGGAGTAGATCACATTGACAAGGCCCACCTATGCAAACTCCTGGCCAAGCTTTGGGAAAAACATAATGAACTGCCTACCCCAATGGACAGAGTCTCTGCCAAGATTTTCATAAACCCAAATATGGATGAAATCAGACCCTGGAGACTGTTGTTCCTCTCACTCTGTACTGCTTCCTTATGGCTTGGACAAGCCTTTTGGGTCTGCTTCTTGTCCTCAGCCAGCCTTGTTCTAGGAAAACTGGAATGGAAGGCTGGCTCCTTCATTAGTGGAAATAGTGTAATAGTTCTGGGGGATGGAGAAAAGGAATGAGTATTTAAAAAAACAAAATAGGCACATGCAATGAAGTGGAATGTAAGAGACTTAGGAATGGAGCCAGGAATACAGTCCAAAGGACTGTGCCTATTGGGGAAGTCCAATTAAAAGGAGAGTTGTTGTGATTAAATTATTAAGGCATCGGTGGCTTCATATAGAAGAAGCAAGTGTATGGCTCTGAAACTTCATTCTTATCTTCAGAACTTAGTAGTTTGCCTTTTGAATCAAATGCAAGGGGAGAAGTGCTACTAGAAATTATGTGTGTTTCCATTAAAGTAGTATGTTAGCTTTTGACACTTCTAAAAGATTACAATATGGTATATTTGCCAGTTCTTTTCAGCTCAAAATCTAACTAGTCTTTTAAGAAGAAAATTATGCTCACTTTTCATCAGTGGCTTTGGCAATTTCTGTTTTTACCCTAGGCCGAGCTCTAGCCAGTACTTACAAGATGCCACTGGCATAAGACTCGGGAGATAAGAGTTGGCTTCAGTGCAAGAACAATGACATCATCACATGTAGCTAAACATACCCACCAAAAACAAACAAACAAACCAGTTTCCATCGAGTCGATTCCATTTCTTGATGACCCCATGTATGCAGAGTAGAAATGTGCTCCATAGGGTTTTCAAGGCTGTGACCTTTGAGAAGTAAGATCACTAGGCCTTTCTTCCAAGGTCCCTTTGGTTGGGTTCGAACCACCAACCTTTTGGTTAGTAGTTAAACGCTTAACCACTTGTGCCACCCACAGACTCTCCAACATATGTAGGGGAGCCAAATTATTCATTTGTTCCTAAGAAAGGCTGTAAAAGCCACTGAGGAAGTAGAAGGAATGGGGGTTGGGAAGACAACAGAGAGAAAAGGCATAGTTGGAAGACCTTCTTTTAAATAATTATAGTAAATGAAGTGGCCAGTAAATTATATACAAAAAATATATTCCAGTTCATTCATTCATTCATTCAACAAATTAAAAGTTTACTCTGTGTGCCAGGCATTGGAGAGACAGCCCTCATGGAACTTATATACTACTGGGAAGACAACCAATAAATTAAACAGTATGTCAGAGAGTGATAAGTGTCAGAGAGAAAGATGAAACAATGAAAGAGGTAGGGAAGTGTTGAGAAGTTGTAATTTTAGATAGAGTGGCCTATCTAAATACCTCAATGAGAGAGTGTCATCTGAATAAATACTTGAAGGAGGTAAGGGAGTGAACCAGAGATATTTGGGAAAAGAGCATTCCAGACAAAGGAAGCCACCGATGACAAGTCCCCAAGGCAGGAGGAGCATGGCTGGTGTGTTTAAGGAACAGTGAGGAGGCTAATGCAACTTGAGAGACATGAATAAAGAGGAGAGTAGAGGAGATGAAATCCAAGGTAAGCAGGAAATAGATCATGAAAATCGTGGTAAGAACTTGGACTTTTACTTGGAGCAAGCCACAAAGCCACTGGAGGTTTTGAGGATAGAAGTGACATGATCTGACATACAATCAACAGGATACTTCTGGCCATCAAGTGCAGAATGGAATGAAGGTGGGCAAAGCAGGAGGCCAAGTTAGCAGGCTACTGCAATAATCCAAACAAGAGATGATGGTGCCTTATCCTGGTAACAATGGCAGTAATAAGGTCAGATTCCAGAATGACAGCATTTGCTGATGTATCAGATATGGGATAGGGGAGAGCAAGAACTCAGGGATATTCCAAGGGGATTGTCCTAAACAATAGTAAGAGGGGAACTGTCATTTACTGATATAGGGAAGACTGTGAGAGGAACAGGTGTCCGTTCAAAAATATTAAGGAAGTCATCTTAGACCTTTAAGTTTGAAGTACCTGTTAGACATCCAGGTGGACATGTTGAATAGGCAACTGGACATGAGTTCAGGGGAGAGGTCTGGGACAGAAATATATATTGGGAGTCAATAACATATAGAAGGCCTTTAAACCCATTTGTCTGGTAAGATCACTAGGGAGTGAGTGTAGACGGAAATGAGAAGAAGTCCAAGGACTCAGACTGGAGATTGGGGAAATGAGGAAGAATCAGCAAAACAGTCTTAGAAAAGTGTGGCCAGAGAGATAGCAGGAATAGCAAAGGAAGGGTTGCAAGGTAGGGAGAGTGATCCAGTGTATCACATGCTGTTGATGGGTCAAGTACGTGGGGACTGAAAGCTGATCATTAGATTTAACAAGTGTGGAGGGTCATAGTGTTTTGACAAGAGCTGTTTTGATTGAAAGATGGGGAGAAAAGCTTGATGCCAAATCAGAGTCTTATTTCATGAGTCAAGAGTCCATGACTTCCTAAAATGGCATAAAGCATTGCTTTGCAGACCTCCTGTCTTGTTGGCATGGCCTAGCTGCCAGCCATCTGAGGAGTTTGGCCATCAGAAAGCCAGAAAGGGGAGAGGAGGAGACTCAGGTAATCCAGC